GAGGGAGAGCTCCGAATGCCAGTGCTGGCCTCATTGCTGATGGGATAAAGCCAGAACCCCTGGCTGTGCCATGGGACAGGTGGAAGTGTCCCTCCTTCCATGTGCCATTCAGCATGGCCCCCTGCTCCATGCTGGGGACAGAGCTCTCCCCTTCACTAGGCTGTGGGGCAGAGTGGGGGGCAGACCCTACCCCCTCGCAGCTCCTGGGCAGGATTAACAGGGATGAGTTTTTGCCAAGTCCTGGCTGCCACCGTGTTAGGAGTCGGCATTCCTGAAGTGCTCCATCTCCCACATGTTGTGCTGATCAAAGGCAGCTGTTGCCTAGACCCTCCCCTGAGCCCATTTACACACAACCAAAAATACAGAAATACAAAGGAAACTGAAGGAGGTGGAAGGGGTGATGGATGGAGGAGAGACTAGGCAAGGAGCAGCAGCCAGCAAAAACCCCAGGCTCCTCAAGAAGGATCCCTCCCAAAGCCGTCGGAGAGGCTGGTGGTGGGACCTTTGGTGGGTCTGAAGAGCTTGCCTTGCTGCCTTGCTTATCTCCATGTGCAAGGCTCTGCTCCGTAAAGCTGGCTGACCTGCTGGCCTGCCAGCCCCTGCACGTGTGAAGTTGGATGAGCTGTTCAGATGTACGTGGTCCAGGAGATATTGTACATGACAACTGCATGTCGGCATCTCCCATGACTTACGGTGGCGTAAGAAGGAGGACCAGATGGGTCTCTCTTTGAAGCCCATTCTGATCCAAACAGTTCCTGTGTCTCCAGTGTCCTGATCTGCTCAGTCCCCTCAGAGGACTGTGGACAGTTCTGGAAGGAGGAGATGTGCTCTCATTCCTGAAGAGAGAGTCCCATGGGCTCTCAGAGGTGAATGGGGCTCCTCACCAGCCCATGGGCAGAGCGAGGCCATGCAGGGTTTGACCTCATGGACCATCTCCTCTGTTCCGTCAGTATCAACCACTTCAAGGGGAGAGGAAGGAGGTCTGTAGTCAGTGTGATGGTGGCTTCTCTGTGTGGTGCTGCGATAGTGGTTCTGCTTCGGGTGAAGTTTGGTCCTCTTAGTTGTATTTTGGCAGACAATGCCTTATTGTTCATGCATGTGATGCTCTACCTCTGCTCTCTGACTCTTTTACTGAAAGGATGTGCACTATTTGGTTTTCCAAGTTTTCTGGATCCTTTTCTATGGCAATTCTGGCTGGTGTCAGTGGATTCTTCTGGCTACTTCAACCTCAGAGACCTGGAGAGAAGGGAAAGCTCTCCTATTCTTCCCCATCCTCATACCTGCCTGTTTGTTAATCATCATTACAATTTAAGATGTTGATTTACTGTGTTAGAAAAGATGCCTTCTATTCTCCAAAATGGCAGACAGGAGAAAAAAGGGACAGAGAATGGGTCTATGGGACACCCTTGCAGACCATTTCCTTGTGGTGGTCACAGAGCTCAACCCCATCCTGCTGGCACTACTCTGAGAGCAGAGCTGCCCAGAAAGGCTTCACATGTGAAACGGTCCTGGCAAGGGTGACCCCAGCTGAAGCTGTTCCTACCTTCCCCGTTCACCTTCGCTGCTGTCCAGCTATGGACAAGGCGCTCCTGATCAGACAAGCATGAAGGGCTCCTCGGGGCTGCACTTGTCCTGCTTGGGGAGGGCTGACAGCACGTGCCTCTGTCCCCAAGGAGCCAAGGGCAAGCTCGCTCAGTGTCCCACTTGCAGCAGCAGCCTGTTCTGACTTGGGGACATTGTTCTGCCTGCTCAGGGTGGCAGGACTGACAGGCTGTGCTGTGACACCTGGGAAAATAGGGGAGGAATTGCTGGTCCTCCTTTGGGCACCACAGGGGCAGGAAACCAAGAGAAACATCTCATCAGAGACCTCAGTAGACTTTGCATCAGGCCCTGCCCTCTCTGTTATCGGACCTGGTGACAGGCAGGCTCTGCAGCAGCATCTTTCTTTCTCTCCTTCTCAGCAGTGCCTCATTCCTAGTGTTTTACCTCCCAGGAAGCAGCTTCAAGGCCAGCTTTCCCCTCCACCTGCACCTGCTTCTCTCCACTGAAAAATGCTCCTGACACCACGCTGCTTTCCTCTAACTGTGCTCTCCAAAGTTCAGCTGCTGGGCTGCAGGCAGCCCATGATACTATTTTACAGCAAGGTGACCCCCTGCTCTTTTGCGCTGTGCAATTCCTTGTCCGGCCTATCTGATGAGGCGTCCACCTAACGCTCTGTGACAGGTCAGCTTGTACTTGCAGGGGGACCATGTTTATCCCTGCTTCTTTTGGGAGTGGGACTTGGCACCAACATTTGGTCCACCCATGTTCCATGAGGGAACAGTCTGGAGGAGTGGTGGTGAAGGACCTGTCACCACTGGACCCTAGTTCCTCTGATGCCCTAGTGTGATGCTAACTGGGGGGATACCTCCAGCAATCCCATCTGAGGCTGGGGACTCCCCCGCTAGGAACAGATCTGGTCTCTGGCAGGACAGCACTATTGTGGGGACAGTTTGTGGCATGGGGACAGGAGTATCTGCTGTTGTCAAAGACAGTGCTATCAAACCATGGTGTGTGGCACCCAAGGAGCTGCTTTGGAGGATGAAAGGAGGAGGTAAGAACTGGCACACACATGCCACCACTGTCCAGTAAATATCTGTTTCAAGAAATGATTCATGTCAGCATGAAACCAGCTTTTCTGGGGCTTTTCACCTCATCAGCTGGATTCCTGGGGCTTCTCCCAAACGCCATTTGTCTGGGTGGATTCTCAGCTTGGGTTTTGGAGCATGGCCTGTCTGACCTGCATTCAGTGAGCTGTCCAAGCCGCCTGTACAACACCTGGACTATGCCATACCCATGCTGTTTGCCTTACACCGGCAAAAGGGTAAAGGATCATCTTCAGGTCAGATCCTTCAAGCACTGGGAGCAGCTTTTCTGCTTTTCAAAACAGACTCTTCTGAGTCTTCTCAAGCAAGGCCCTTCTTGTTTGCCAAGGGCTGAGATCCCTGAACAGAGATGAGCCTGGCTTGGAGAAGGATATTCCACTGTTCAGCAGAACCATGTGAAGGAACAACTCCGATGTTCTGGAATCTCAGGTTTTGCTAGAGAGAGGATAGAGAGAGAGAGAAAAAAAAAGCTGTTCTAGTTCTTACAGTTGCTAAGAAATATCTAAATATTTCACTCAGAGGTAATCTAGGGAGGAGAAAGCACAAAAAAAATCGATCCTAAAGTCAATGCTTTAGAAGCTTTAAAAGCTTGTATTTCTCTAGCTAGATGTTTGAGGGGGTGGGCTAAAATATGTCATTTTTTCAAAGGAGTAGGAGTATCAGCATCTCAGTACCTCCATGTTCTTTTGCAAGGGCTACATGCCCTGATGGACACTGAGGCTTTTTTGCTGAGGTTGAGAGTCAATGCAGGTGTCTGACCCAGCCAATTCCGGCTCTCCTGTGTCTCTCCCAAGCCTCAATGCAGAACCGGTTGCTCTTTCTGGTACTGGACAGCCCTTGGCGTGGCACTTAGTCCTATAACAGCATCTCCTGCAAGGGGAGTTGATTTGCTCTAGCTGAGAGCTTGGCCCCAGCACTTGCAGGAGATGCTGAACTTGCAGGTGATGCTATTGTGAGACTGCAAGGTGGTGGTGTGGAGTTGTTGCCCCATGATGGGGCCGTCACTGCTGGGGTGGGTGAGGACGCACCGTAAAGGGGCTGTAAACCGGGTATGACTCTGTCCTTGCTGCTCCAGCTGCCTGGTTAAGAGGCAGGGAGCAGCAACGGCTGCTGTGACCTGCATGCGGGAGCTGGACGGTGCCGCCGGCCACGAGCGGCAGGTGAGGAGGACATCGGGAGGGGAACTGTCTTGGAGAGGACAGGCGTGACAAGGACAAGGTCCGCATGTGTCAGTGATGGCAAGCGTGGCCCTGTCAGAGCCAGTCCAAGCTTCACCCCAAGTGACAGGCGTGACAGCTCTGCTAAGGACAAGGCAGGGAGCAGAGGGCGAGGGAAGCAGCAGGAGGGGATGGCACCGGGTCCCTGCGCTGTGGCATCTCACAGAGACTCTGGTAAGGGCAGGACTGTCCCCTCCTGGGCACCTCCAACAGAGCTGGGATATTGGAGAGCTCTGTCCTGGGTGCTTCTCCTTTGGGGAGGGCAGCAAGGAGCCACCGCGATCTCTCTGTTGGCCCTTGGGGCACTGAGCCTGGGCATTGCCCCATCTCTCCGGGTTTGGGGCACGCAAGGGCCTTTCCCCTGTCCTGGGGAGGCCTCGGCTCTCCAGTTAACATCAGATGAGGGGCCAAAATGGGGTTTGACCCAGTTTAATGAGGACAACGCGGGACTCTTGTGGAGATGCCTCCTCTGGACATTCAGATGCAAAGCTGGATAGCCTCAAATTGTGCCAGGGAAAGTTCGGGTTAGATAGCAGGAAAAATTTCTACACGGAAGGAGGGGTGAAGCAGTGGAATAGGCTGCTAAGGAAGCAGTAGAGTCACTGTCCCTGGCAGTGTTCAAGATACATGTAGATGAGGCACTTAGGGATGTGGTTTAGCAGGCATGGTGGTGATTGGTTTACAGTTGGACTTGATGATCTTGAAGGTTTTTCCACCTATAATGATTCTATAACTGCGGCCCCTCACGCAGGACACGTAGAGCTGCAAACCCTGCGCTGCGAGCCTTGGCTGCGATGACATGGGCGGGTGGGGAGCTCCCTCCTCCGGCCCCGGCGGGCAGCGCGGCCGCAAGCCCGGTCGAGGCCGCCTGGTCTGCGGCGCCGGGAAGGCGCCCGGGCCCGGCGCAGCAGCAGGGGGAGCCGCGGCTAGGCCAGGCCGGAGGGCCC